AACTAAAAATAGCAGTATTTATGTTGATTGCTCCAAACCCAACTTGGCCAATTAATCACAAAAGGAATTTCTGGGAATGTACAAATCAAGATGGCTCTATTACCCCCCCCCCTAATCAAGGCCATTTATGCTCTGAAGAAAAAGTGTCCAGCACCATCTAGGCAGCTTACTTTTACCTTGAGTGACAGCCAGAACAATAAAAATGAGATATTGAGGTGTACAGATCAAGAACCTCAAAACAGACTGGCAACTGATGCTCTAACTGGTCTAGACAACAGGTCCATCTATGGATTAATACATACACTTACACCTGGTACAGTGGCCTGGAGATACACTGGCATAAATTCCCCAGTTCTGATTTTTCTCTATACCCAATAAAAAAGAGCATATTGATCCCTTGTAAGTGCTGGTAAGCAGATTAATTCACCTCCTTTAAGTACATCAAATGAAGTCTTATTATTTATCAATGGAAAATGTACCCATATAAAACTATGAGTTTAGTGGAATCACATATTGTACCCCAAGCCTGGCCTTCACATAGTACACAGCAGTTCAAGGTACAACAAATATAATGAACCAGATTTTCCTTAGTATGGAGAAACCATTGTGTACTATACAACTTGCAGGCTGTCCAACCCCTGAGCTGCACCAGACTATCATGTTAACTCCTCTCAATATTATTCACAAGCCCCAAAAAGTTAGTAACCCAATGGTTCACTGGGTTTGGGGTCATGCACTGGTCTACTAGTTCCCATGTACTTTTCACATACCACTTACCTATCTTTTTATCATAAATTTTGAAGCAAAGAGTCCACCATCAATCACAGGGTGATATGACAGGCATTACAGTAGTCATAGAGATATGCCATAACTCAGAAGACAGCATGTGTAAGAAATATTTATTGCAATAATTCATAAACTATGAGAAGAGGGGAGGGAATGCTAACATAAGCAAGATTATATTTCAAGGATGTCACTTCACAAGAAAATGGAAATAATAAAAATATTTAGCATTTCAAAAGGAAATTACTAAAACTATATTAATGTACTGTTTAATACATAAACAATAAAAATTTAATCATGCATAAGACTGAGAGAACTGTAAGAATGATCATAATAGAGGTTGAGTTGGGATATGTTGCACTACAACAATTGTTTAAAACTTAAAACTATTGATGCAGAGAGTAAAACCCTTTTGTATGAATGAAGTTTCAATGTTAACCAGCATGGTGGAGCTTGATTATGTCACCTTATGTTAACCATGTTGCTACCATGAGCTCAGAAAAACTCCACACAGTACTTCCGTAAGAGTATTGCTTCCTCTTTCTCTATATTAAGGCCCTCTTGTGGAACAAACCTCACATGTAATACAAACCAGAGAGTAACAACTGCTACTGTACACTCCAACAGAGGTGGGGACAGCCACTATTCTGACTGTCAACACCCAGTACAATTATAACCTCTATCAGGGTTGGTTCAAGTAACATTATAAAATAGTGAGTCGAGTCAATTTGGTAATCTTAAAAACTGTGAAAATTAACTAATTAAATCAATTTAATTTGAAAAGTTAACCACTTTAACCCTCTCGTGGTCTTTTGATGCAAAATGCATTGCTTAGCACTGCTGTGCTGGCACAACCCCTCCTGCTCAGCAGTATCTCACACTGACAGCACCCCTCCCCTAAGCAGAAATGCCAAACCACCTAAGTGCCTCTAACTAGCCTCTTTGGCTGGCAGTTGTATCACTAAGGGTGCAATTTGGGTTTGGATCGCTCTACCCAATGTTTTTTCAAATGGAAAAACTGTTCTTATTACTGACACAAACTTTGCCGAAAGACTGTGACGGGGTGACTTTTGGGGGGTTTCTTGAAACCAGTCCACAGAACTACCCTTATACATGACTGATCATAATATACTGTATTAATATACAAGTACTTCTGTAAGTTTAATTGCCGTTTGTGTACATATGTCATGTCTGGTAAAGAATACGTCATTCTCCGGTATAGGGATTAATTTCTTTTGAGAGTATACTGTACTATTACCTGTATTTACCACATTTAATATGAACGTACTATACTGTAATTAAAATTAGCACGGGGTTGTATTGTCCCAACTATCAGACATAATTGTTCCCCGTAACAAATATCCAGTACAGTATACAGAAAATAACATTGGTTTTTCTAATATGAATAATCTCCAGCTGTAGGCTTGTCACTAGCATTTATTACGGATAAATACAAACAAAAATATACACTGAATTACACTACTAGTCCTTGTCACTGGCAACACTATCTGCTGCTGGAGGCCCCCTAGGTTTATGTCACCTTACACACTCCTGGCTCAGGCCTGGGTCATCCCACATAGTTGATTTAGCTGCTCCTTTGAAGTTTACATATACAAAGCCTGACTGTGAGAAAGCCAGATAGCAGCTTAGAATATTAACAGGCAGATTACCTGTTTGTTTGTGTCACTGACCCCTGAGAGGTCAGTGTCTCAGTGACCTGCTCCATGTGTGTCTTCAGTTGTCTTACATTAACATAAGCATACAGGCTCAAATTATTTTGATGGGCAAGGAAGAATCTGCCCGAAGTTTAAGTTGCACTGCAGGACTTTTCCACCAAACATGAAGTGGTTAGAATCAATGTCACGACACATTGTTATTGTGTTGCTGCTTATGACACGATGCTTCTCGGTGTGTGACACCAGCAGTCGAGAGGTAATATTGGCAAGCTGCCTCGGTCTTTTTAATGACCTGATGAGCCACAACTGCCATGCCTAATATCCAAGAAGCTGCTGTAGTAGCTCAACATCCAAAACTTATCAAGATGAATGCAACACTTTTTAGTATTTAGCTATAAGATAAGTAACTAGGGATGTTAAGGAAAGCCTGCTCACAAATTTAGTGAGCTGAAGAACTATGTAAATCTGGCTTAAGATAAATTTAACACTACAAACAGTAAACTCAAATTACTCCCTTCCTGTTTTGTTTGTAACTACTGAAACAACTTGCCCAAATGAGAGTGGGGGAGCAGCCCTCCCTCGGCCCATATGCCTATCCCCACTAACTATTCTCCTTGAACCATAATTTTTTAAATGAAAAGTTATTTGAAAATAAAATGAATTTTGGGGATACCGTACTTGTATTTCAATTATGTTAAACCACATTTCGCTATCAAACTAGTTTAGTTAATTAGCTTAATCGACCCAACCCTGATCTGTTTTATCCTTATTTTTTCTCATTTCATATCTTTCTCCAAAATACTTCACATTTTATCACTAATCATTACTGTACTTCTTGTATGTGAAGCATGATGAATTCTGAATAAGTTTAACTTCTTGAATTAGTGAACTCTATGTAGTAACTGCTGATTTATACACTTCATCTCTAATTAAAATTTCTGGTGTAGAGAGAATTTTTTTTTATCCACAGAATTTGTTGAAACTACAACCAGCAATAATAATTAATAGATGGCTTTATCAATTAATTTCAGGAACAAGCAGCATGTGTTACATAAATAATAAACTTCCACTATAGTCTCACAATAAAACCAGGAAGGTTTTCAGCATGAGTTATGTTGCAGCAACAGGTGGTGAGATACTGGTAACTGGTGAAACTATGTGATACACTACTCTGATGCATACTTTCAAGTAGTGTTAACCACTCCTGCATACAAAAGTCATATTCTGGTTTTCATACACTGTCTGGGAAGAGGACTATGCAAGCTAGTCTTTGAAGAAGTTAGTTTGCAATTTGTATCATATCAGAGGAAGTCCTGACAGCTGGAATGTGTGAATTTATAACAAAGAAAATTCACAGGAGATACAGTACTGTACTGTAGTAAATACTATGGAATCTACTAAAAAATTATAAATATCCATTAAAAAGGAAACATAAAGAGCAAAGTGATAAGTCAGTGCTGTAGGGATGGTCACATTCTGGGGACATCATTAAAATCTGGGACTGTGTTCATTATTACATCATACAAATACATAAAATTGTTGGATACTTCTTGACTAGGTGGCTTGTGTGTACCTGTTGACTCCTCATTTCAATAACCAGCTTGGAGACAGCAGTTCTCAGGAGTTCCTCTACAGACACTTTTCTACAATATGTTTATTGTATACACTTTTTTTTTTATACTGTACAGTATTTTCTCGATTTAACGAACTAATTCGAGCCACCCCTTTCTGTTAAATTGAAATTTCCTCCGAATCAAATTTCCGTTATTTTCGCTCGATTTAGCGAACTATATCCTTTCCATGCTAAGCTGGCCCATAAGCCCTGCCCCTCATCTATAGCTACAAATAGCCGATTGGTTACCCTGAGCGATTTACCTCCCTCCGAACTGAGTGTGTATAGGCACGTATTTATATCGACCTTTTATGATAAATATTTAAAATTTTCTAACATCCTCTCTGATGAGCTAATGCCTTGAGATCATCTGCATTTTTATGGTTCAGATATTTAACATTATTTTAGTTAAGAACAGGTCTGCTTACCAATTGTGAACACATTTAGTTTGAATTTTCTATGAACTATTACTATAGAAGAGGGGCGGGGTATATGGGCCAGGATAGCGTGGAAATACCATAGTTCACTAAATCAAGCATGATTTCGCTAAATTCTGCCAAAAGTCTCTCAGAAGTCTCAGAAAGAAAGTAGTATGGGGGAGAAAGTCAAAAAAGAGTGGAGCTATCAATTGGAAAAAGGTTGGGGGAAATAATAGAAAAAATTTAAAACAAACACCGAACCCCCAAGTTAAGATAAGCCATGAATAATGTTTCTATGTACATATCATGTGTCTGAGGTGTCTCCTTAGGTGTGAGCGTATTAACAGAATTAATCTCAATTTCGCGAACTAGTTCACTAAATCAAGTGAAAAATAACTGAAAAAAGTCCTTCATGTAAATCAAGTTTGTTATATCGGATTCCATTAAATCGAGAGTACACTGTATAATAAAATTAACAACACAGGCATTTATATACCACATAATACTCACATTTGAGTGTTCTCAATGGCTGCAAGAATTCTTGAATTATCTATATGGATTTTCTGCTTTGGTGTTTTCCTTTGGTCTTCATGCCCTGAAAGAAGTTGTCAAATAATAAATATCTGGTGATACAGTGAATAGGTAATGAATTGCTGAAAAACAATGAATTACACATAAGTATACAGGAAACCCTTGATAAAGAACATCCTTATAAAGTGCCAGTCTCTATACACCAGCAGTTTAATAAAGAATGAGGGATCTGATAAAGTTACCAGATAGACCAACAATTTGACAAGAATAAGATGATAGAGACTTACTGACCGTGGAAAATGAAGAAACATACAACCTGGCGGCAGCTATCCATGCTGCACTGTCTCTTGCAGTCTTTCTTGTCAGGTTCTACACTCTAATGTCATTTCCTCATCTACCCCTGGCTCTCATCCCATCCACATTTAGGTTCATGCATTTCTTGACCCAATTGGTCTCATCCATTCTCTCTGTGTAGAGTCTCGGAAAAAAGTTCGCTCCCCGTAGTGAGACTGAGTCTCGGGGATGAGTCTCCGAACTGATTTACCCTAACTGTTGGATCTTGTTTGGGGTTGATGCTGCTTCATTTTAGGAGGGAGAGAAATTTTGACCTGAACTGTACCTAAACCATCTCGGTTTACTTCAACACAGAACTTTGCCAATAATCTCAATACCTAGTTACCCTATTAGCTCTGAAAAGGACCTCCTGTCTTTCAGAGTCACATTCCTCACCCACCTCACTGTTCCCATTTCAGCTTGTTCAAGCCTGCTATGTCATCCTCTTTAACTAGCCATGTTTCACTGCCACACAGCATAAGATTTCTCACACTAACTGCTGACATTCTTCCTTTTACAAAGAAAGAAGGTCCTCTTACCTAGACCTGTGTTAATAGGATGTTAAAAAAAAAAATCTATTACCTTTTCGTTTAGTATACTTGATTGCTGCTCCATGGAACGCACTAACAGCACGGAAGAATGCCCTTAAAATAGACCAACGAAACACAGCAACAGGGTCCGCTCCAGCCACCTCTCTCACAATACTATACCGACTGTTCTTCAATACACATATCAACTCGGGCCGCATAAGATCCAGGTTCTTTTCTCTGAAGTCATTTACCTGAAAAATACCATAGTTCAGTTAACATCAGACCCTGGCTCTTTTTGCTGTAGTCATTTAGCGACCTGAAAGCATCAATCAGTATCATATTAATATCTGACAATCACTTCCCACTAAATGATGGAATAGTCAGTGTAAAAGCACCTCACCACAACAAGTTCCTTATACATTTTTACCAATCCCACCACTGGTCAACTCAGGATTGGATAAAGTTGTGACTGCCAGTTGTAAGGTCAAATAATTCTTGCAGGCATATTTGGTCAACAGAGTTACCAGGCTGGCTAGAGACCCATATAATCATGCCTATTCATCAAAAAATGGTCAGGAAAAGTCAACATGCAACAGTTGCAGGAATCGTTCTTAAAGGCCTTAGGGACCGGGAAATGCATAAGTTGAGAAAACAAGGTTAATAGTTCCTCCTGTTTTAAGGCTTAGCACTGTCCATTACTTCCACATCATCCCTACTGACTTCTAAGTTTCCATCACTGAGCTTAATTACAGATTAGTGATTCCCATACAAGTGTCAGAGATGGCAGGAATTATACAAGTGTATACTGTACAGCATTTTACTGTATAATACACAAAGACATATTAGTGTGGAATAAGATCACACACCCACATTCTGTCAATCAGCAAATCTGTCAGTGTTCATGAAAATTATCTGAAATATAAAGAAGTTATTTCAACAAGTTAATCATAGTGATAGTTGAACAGGGCAATTTAGTATGGCTCTCCCTCAACATCTAATGGCAGGAGAATAATAAAGATGACTCACTATTCAAGACATTCTCCAACAAATACAGTACTATACAGTACAACAGTTACCTGGTACTTGACTTTGCCAGCATAGTGTTTAATGATGAAGGCTGATTCTCTTTTATGAGGTATTTCATAGTATTTATTATCCTTGTGGACTGTGTTGATCTTCTGTAGGAAAGTCTCGTTGGTGACGGCAGGAAAACTGAAAACAAACATATCACATTTCACTCTCAATCAGTTTTCTCTTCAAATACAAAAGTTCAAACATTGTCAGATGGTTACTCTGTACCTATTTAAAAAGATGATTGTCTCGTATATTTGTGGAACACTTTGCTTCATTACTGAGTGGTGGGAAATATATAATTAACTACATTCTATAGCATGAGACAAAATCTATTGAAAAAAGATTACCATTGCTATGGTTTAGATATAACATGAGCATCATCTTTCAACAGCTAATTTCAATATGAAAAAAAGATCTGGGTAAGTAAATACATACAGCAATATCAAAACTGCCAAGAGACTTTCTATAGACAACAGGTCATCAACAAGTAGCCTTCCATACACCATACAATAGTTTTTATAGAACACCTGCTGACAGCTGACATGACAGAGCTTGTCAGGGCCAAAATGCAAGCCATAACCTACACTGTCATAACAGATCAGTGTAAAGTGCTACTGAGACTCTTGTTAGACAGGCAACTGGTTTGATACAACAAAATCATTCAATTCATAAGAATAGAAAATTAACTAAAAAGTTTGAATAAATACCTTCATTTTCTGTACCAAATATTCCTTTGAAATTCAACTGGGTAACACAAATGGCCCTCTGGTGTCAACATTAACAAAATAACAAATATAATATACTCAAGTCTCTCTATTTTTCCCCTTGTTGTAATTGACAAAATTCTTTACTCAAATTATGCTGAATTTTTTTTAAAGTATAACAGTGAATGGATGTATTCACAGTGGGAACAGATGGAGTTACTTAGGATGCTTTTGAAAAACAAGAGCACTGCCTTAATAATGTGGTGAACCTAAAGGCTCCCAGGAAGGATTTCAGAGCAAGCAAGCACCAGGCTAAGAGTACAAAATAACAGTTTAACTCTTTAGTTTACTGAACAACAGCAGTTTACTGATCTATACAGACACAGCAGACTACTCCTACAATAAGTCAGCCCCTCGGCAATAACGAGCTCTACCGTGGATTGTTATGGTGAGAGTTGTCTTACAGATCAGGTGTCTCTTCCTCACTGATAAAATGACATCTCATGGTTCAATCTTACAATTCTTTACTTCCTTACCTGCACTGATCATCTAGAACACAGAGCAAACCAGCAGGCCTCCCCTCAATCAGCGCTAAACAATCAACATTATCTTGGAATTCTATATTGGTCCAGGTGATATTTTCACGCTGATATTCTTCCTGTTCATATTCAAAAACATGTTGGTTGAAGTAGTGCTGCAGGTGCTCATTAGCATAATTGATACAGAACTGCTCGAACCTGGAGGAAAAATGGCGAGAGAGGTGGTAAGACTAGTAATTAAACACACACACATTCTCTCTTATTTGTGTCTCTCTCTCATAACTGCACATCCAGACTCTAGCTTCACGTGCATAGGTGGTACTGTAGTGTCACATAAGAGTTTTCAAACATTCAGCTTAATTTAAAGTTTAATTCATCAGGGAATTTTGTTTTCATGTTTTGTTTCTAATTATCCACAATTCAATTCAGTGAGGTTTTTCCTATGCTGTAATTATAGTACCAGTGGTCTCGATTCAGAGGGAATGTTGTTTATCTACTTATATATTGAGCACCTCACCTTCATACTGTTAGATAGCCTGAATAAAGCTCTGAATACTAAACAGTAATGTTTTCATGAAATACTGTATCCATGTTTTAATTCTCAAACACACCTGTTGCTGTGACCAAAATCTTCAAATCCAAATATGTCCAGCACACCAATTGAGTTGCCTCCACAGTCACTGGCTGATTCCTTCAGGGTAATAAGAGAGTAGTTCACCTGCAGGACAATCCAGTCAAATAATGCCCCATACAAGCACTTGGCCAAGGCATCACGGGCTGCAACAGCCTGAAGGAAAAAATTTCATCATATATTTTGGCATTAAACTTTAACCCCTTCACTACGGGGACACCACGTTTAATATTACATTTGGCTCACACCCGGCGATTTTATTCAACTCGGATGCGACCCTGTACACCAGGGGTTAATGCTACCCCTCTCACAGACTCACACTAAATTAAATAAATTGCTAGAAGAAAGGATCAGGTTCTTTGCAACTTTATTAAAAATTCAAGATTAATAGACAAGAGTGAAGTAAGAGCTTGCTCAATGGGTCATACCTCAGGCAGGCGATAGTGCATGACTAGAATCTCCCCTTGAACACGAGCCTTCTTTGACGTGAGAGCATTCATGAGTGTGTCTTCTGATACTCCCAACAGTGCAGATATAACACCAACTTGCTCAGGGTTTCGTACCAACACTGATTCATCATGATGGTAGGTGGACTTCTTTGGCTGAAATTCTATGTTACCTGTTTCAAGAATTAGACATAATGTATACAAATTAGATATCTAATTGCTGCAAAGAAAAAAATTAATGCATTGCCATAATCTTTGTTTGTCATGATGGGTGATTCTCATCACTCACTCTCACATGCATTTTTATATATTTTCTGTATTAAGAAACAGGCACACCCACCTAGAAGAAGGACAGCAGAGAGGACAGCAAAGAGACGATGCTGTTTGTCAACCGTGAACCCCACCATCTCCATGGACTGCTTCAGTCTCACAAATTCAAATTGCTCATCACAGCCCTCAATGGTATAGCACTTGCTCTGAAAAGATAAAGAAATTATTTAATTTTACTTTTAAATATAAGTCTCATTGTTATGTGGAGCTATAAAGCACCTGTTAAATTTTGCAAATGTTATGAAAATAAGTTCCACTTCAAATGTAGAAGGTAGAAAGCTCACTGCAGACAGAGTTAATTACATCCTCAATACCATGAGGTGTTATATATACTCACCATTCTATACATCTTTCCCAAAACACTATATAATTATTCCCCTGGACTTCTCTCAAAACCAGAACTCTACACATACAGTAAACCTCCGATAACTCGGCATTTGATAACTCGGAATTTCATATAACTCGGTATGGATATGGTCGCGGAATGTATTAGTATAACTTGGGAAATGCAGAGATATATAAAATTATCTGGGAAAATCTCCACATATCTGGCCATCTGTATCACCAACCATACCTGTGTGTCACCTACCATGCATCTGTGTCTCCTACTATGATCCTTCATTCTTTGCCTGCAGAGCTGGTGTTACCTTTTTTACATTTAGTAATTACATGTACACACATATGGGTCAGTAATTTTTTAATGTTGTATTTTTGTAGGAGGGGGGGAAGTGCCCCGATAAGTCGGAATTTGGGATAACTCGGCAAGGCCAGAGACCCATATGTGCCAAGTTATCAAGGGTTTACTGTGTCTCCATCCTGGAAAATCTTCAATGAACACCTTAGTTCTATGTAGCCTTCACACACATTATTTTCTCCTGTGATGTCCTATTTGATCTGAGTTATTACATTTTTTAGTTTTGGAAGGCATTCTACCCATCCTTACCCCTTGTATATTATTTTATATCATCTATCTCTATACTCGATACCTTACAACCAGAAACCTACTACTGTACACTTTCTAGCATTGTCTCTATCGATCTTTATCACCTCCCATTTCTCCCCCAAGTACTGTACATGTGACCACTTTGTCTTTATCATATCTTGACATGTTTTAGCCACGTTTAGTCACATTCCCTTTGTTCAGCTCATTGACTTGTATAACCTTCTTCATACTTCATTGATTCTGTCTCCCACTCCATACACAGCTCCTCTTCCTACATCCACGCCAGTTTACTTACATCTCAATCTTCTGTTCACTAACGCTTAGCCAAACAACCTTCTCATGTTCTCAACTGTCACATCTCCATCCATACAGTAAATACACATTTCTATCTCTGTACCATATATAATACTGTACTGTACTCCTCACCATCAAGCCATATTATATAGCTACTCTACAGAAAATAAATCCATTTACAGCCAACCAATTAAGCTTATAATTCTGAACCTAACCCTCTTCAAACCTGTTTTCTGAAACAATAATTCTCACCCTTTTATATTTAAATCAGAAAAATTGCTCAAACAAAAAGAGCTGTTCTTCTTTTAAATTATGAAAAATTCTTTCTTACAGAAAATACAGTTTGCAGACAGGCAAACCAATTACCAACCTGGTTGAGGTAGCGGTAGTCTGAGGGTTTTAAGAGGTGAAGGGCTTGCCGTACTTGGGGAGACGCTCCAGCAAGGAGATAATAGAACACATGATAACTGCGTTCATTGTAAGCCTGAGAGCAGATCCTTGACTTCTCTAGCAGGTACTTCTGAACACATGCTCTGGGGATAACAATAATAAACAATAAACATAATATAGTTTGTAACCAAGCAATCATTTTTTTTTTCTGTCGCCTTGTCTTCTTCACTGTTGAATCATCTCTCTGATTTTATGTTACCATGAAATTTAAACATAATTTTGCTGCCACATTAATGCTCTATGTATCTGTTTATCTGTTTCTATATCTATACCATAGTCTCTTCCTCTCCCACCAGTTCCTTATCCTCCATTATCTTATAACTTGTGATTACAACCATTACAATATCTGACTTATATCCTGAGTTTTAATAGCACAGTCAGTAAGACTATACAGTATTACCAAGGAAAATCGATTACAGCACAAGACTCTGGGCTATACTAACCTTCCTCAAATGGCTGCATCCAAATAACACATCAAGAGATAAGAGTACGTATACAATTATTGAAAAATTTATTTATGAAGAAAGTTGGTGATTTTCTAAATGCAAATATTAGTTTTCATAAGTCTAAACTATCCAAGTACTATATGTTTTGACCAAGTGCATCAACCTAACTATGTATTATATCGACTCTCTCATTATTGTGTCAGGTGGACCAACACTTACAGGAGGGAAAAATAGTAGTTAAAGAGAGGCCATGTGAAGTAATAATAGTACTGTATAGTGTAAATTTTTAGAGTCCACACTTGGTCCTAATTAGAAGTCATTAGTTTCACTCGCGTTGTCACTACCATACGTAAATAAAGAATAATCCATTGTACTCTAGCATTAGCTTTGACTAACGTGTCTATACATCCGTGATAAGCAAGTGGCATACTATCAGTCTTTGTACACAGTCATACTTCAAGAGAACATTACAGATACTTACCCTTGAACAAGACCATTTTCTTTATAGGTGACTTGAATGAATTTACCAAATCTACTTGAGTTATTGTTGTGGGCTGTCTTGGCATTTCCAAAGGCCTGGCAGTGACAAGAGGGACTGGTTACATAATGAAGCACCAATACAGACAAAAATAATTTTAAGTTCTTTTCAGAAACATTCCTGAGGACAGTTAAAATGAACTTCACATTAACTATGAGTGGTATTCCAAGAAGATAATGTTTTTTTATCAAGTGTACAATACCTACATATACTGTACTAATAAATAAAGGCAATATAGTACTGTACTGTGAGAAAACATTGTACCTGTACTAATACCAAAGCTAAAGACAATACCTGTACAGTATATACAGTAGCAGACAGTGAAAACTCTTACCTCTAAAACAGGTCCTGAACTTAAGATGGTCTGTTCCACTCCACTTCCATGAGAACCTTTTTGGCTCAGCATGGTAAGATGATGGAGAAGGAAGAGCGTCGATTCAGTTTTTCCACTTCCACTTTCCCCACTGATGACAATGCACTGATTACGTTTTTGTTTCAGCATGGAGTGATAGGCTGCATCAGCAATAGCAAAAATGTGAGGAGGGAGTTCTCCAAGTCTATGATTCTGATACAACTTGACATATTTGGGATTGTATATGGGGTAGTACTTGAAAGGGTTGACAGATATGAGGATGGACCCAACATACGTATAGATATAACCTCTTTGGAACCTCGCTCGCAGATTTTCAAGGAGTGTCTGTTCAGTCAGGTTGGGTAGCTGACAGAGATCAGGATATTCTTTGTCTTTGGGTTGGTACAAGAACTTATAAAAATAATCACGGATTAGCTGTGAGTCGAGTTGACTGGGTTCTGCCCACAAAGAGTCTGAAGAAATTTTCTCCCTCAGGCAAAATCTGTTGAGAAAACAGGATCATCACAAACAGCTACAGGACAACAGTAATTATCTATAGCCAAGTACACTCACTACAAAAAGTATCTGCAAGGTGGGGTCAAAATGAACACTCCAACTCCTATTGGCTCAGTAGGGTTGTCAAAATACTCCGTCCATTGTGTCATATTGTCTAGCAAAAATTTTGCATATACTTTTTGTAGCAAGTGTACAGTGTATATATTAGCTAATAAAATTTAATGAACTAATTCAAACTACTGTAAAATACTAAATAAAAGAGTATTAAAGCTATACAGTATTTGCATTTCATATAACTAAATGTGAAGTAAATAAGGATGTACAATACAATGCCATTACTGTAGCTACAGTAATATGCAACAACTGTTTTGAATGTTGTGACATTCCCTCTGAAAACAGTGAGGTCTACCAAACTGCAGAATTCACAATAAATTATTTAATTAAATTTCACATGACAGGTAGAAAGGTATTACCAACTTACCTGTACTCATGTTGGTCATTCTCATCAGTATTTTCTGTAACGGGGGACTGGGGCCAAAGCATCTGTAAAGCCACCGGATTCTCCATTGGCCCCAGCCTCCTCTCCTTACACTCTTGCCCGTGAGAATTACCGATAACTTCTGCCAGCTCATAGTGCTGGGGATTGGGAAGCCCAAGCCTCTCCACGATACAGATGGTGATTTCTTGTGACGTGGTCTGCTTGCTGACCTCAATGGAGAGAGCTTCATAGTGAGGCGACAATGCCCCGACGAACACCTGCACTATGTAGCGGCTGTAATCCATCTTTACAGCTTCAGGACAAAGAGTCCGAGTAGTCCCTTAATAATATTTTGTTTTTCACTGGGTATGTAATTGCCATCTTCATATAGTACAACATTGTGTGTCACCTCTTTAACCACTTTAACTTCACACACACACACTATTTAAATTTTCTATTGTAAACACAAAGTAGGTCCTTCAATCTATTTTCATCTAGATTGCACCAACAACCCATCTCCTTGCACTACTTCACACAAGCAGTCCACTTTAACTGTGCACTTACAACCTAAATAGTTCCTTACAGAATACCTCAATATATACAACAAAAGGTATTTACACATTTTTACATCTTGTTTGGCTGTAAAGAAAAAAACATACATATTGTATACAGTTGTACAGTAACCTGTGCAGTACATAGTTAGTAATTTTTCAACACAACGAAGTTCAGTGTAAAACATTATTTATTGCAGTACAGTACAGTAGGCTCTTATCGTATGAGGTAATTATAGGTGTATACAGTACAGTACCAGTGCAGTATTTAAAAAAAAATAGTTTTGCATCAAGTACTGTATGGTTTAAAAACTATTATATACTGGTATGTACTACAGTACCTACCATATATACTTAACTGCCATACCTTATGTTTATTCATTAGCTATATGGAGAATAAATATGCTGAACTCATGGCTTCACCTGTAAAGTTTTCATGAGTAAAGAACGGTAATTCTGGAATAAAAAAAAATACCTGTATGTACAGTTTTCATGAGTAAAGAACGGTAATTTTGGAATAAAAAAAAATACAGAGAGAGGCACCATTTTATCTGTTACTGACTTTTGTGTCAAGACTGGGCAATACATACGGGTAGCCTGGATTTAATAACAGGAAGACACAAAGACCAAGAAGGAAAAAGAAAAAAAAATGGCAGGCAACCTAGGTAGGCAGGAACTGACAAGGATTGTGGATTTTTCTTAGAATAATGCTTCTATGCACCATCATTCTCTCGATTTATTTTGAAATTCTGTATCATTTTCATCATCGATTCACTTTGAACATCACTCCTATACAATAAGAACCTAGTGGCAGACTGTCCGGGTTGTAACTTGTATTATTCACAAAAAAAGAAACTACAAAAAATATGATTAATCTAGTGCTTCACTCAACCTGAGCCAGGCCTCAATGTCTTTCCTAGGTTGTACCGTATTCCTGACGACTACCGTTTAGTACCGTACCGCTGATCATACCGCGTGAATAAACGGGACATATACCCGTCCACTACCGACTTGCACGTCCAATGACCCGGTCATCCACTTACTTGCCTGTCCACCAGTTACTAATACGTCTCGTCCCAGCCATACAGCAACACCACAGTGGCTCCTAAAGACCGACTGTGTTGATACATCATTAATCATTTGAGTTGTGAATGTTTTACACAAACGTCCCCAAAAGGACAATTAAAAACAACATCAATGGCACCGTCATGGATAGAAAAAGTGGTTTGCAATTACTGTTCAAAAACCTGGACGAACAGACAAAACGTGCGCACGATATCAAGACAAAACGTGCGCACGATATCAATGCATTGAAATTCTCATCTGCAACTAATCAGGACCTTAGACATTTGCTTTCTGTCAAAACCATTAAATCAGAGAAAACACAGAATGTGGAGACTAGAATTAAGGACGTTAGTAGTGATACAGCTCACCGAGTACAGCGTCATTCATCTGAAGACTCATCTCGGTTAGCTTTCAGTGCCAGTGCTAGCAAGAAATTAAAACAGATCATGAAAGTGCTGAGCAAGATAATTTAAAAACTATGCTGATCAGTTTGGATAGTAAAATAAGTTCCTTGATTGATTCAAAATCTCAAAAAGATGAACCCCATCGTACTGATCATATAAAATTGTCTCTACAGCCCGATAAAGGACTACCCAGACATGCTTCCACAGAGATATTCGAGTTGTTACCAGCTGCTAGATCAATTGACACAATTTTGTCTCTTCTACTGTGACACCAGATGAAACTGGACTATAGTACAGTACTTGTAAATCTATAATCCACTATGATTTTAATAATGGTACTAAATTTACACTGAATGAAAGATTCCATCTTCATTTTCCCATCTGAAAGAATCACTTGGACGGTACTGTGATTCTAAAAGTCATGTGAAAAATACTGTTTTAACTTGTAAAATACAGTACAGTCTGAAGAGAAAATTATTAATAAACGGGCACAAGAATGTAGTTTAAGCTGTGCATCAGCAGCTTATTTTACATACAAAAACGGTAATTCATATCGGTCTCATGTAGGACTTTGCTGAAATATATGTTGCTGGTGGTAATGTTGGTGTTAAGAATCACTCTCATGGTTATTTTTACATCCTATGTATGAGGAGGGGAGTTAAAAATACCATATGTGACTGAATCTTCCTTACCATTTCGTCTGATAGCAGATAAGATGACACCATGTCACAGAAAGAGACACATTACGCGCATCAGAATACTCATTTGGGACATCAATAATACCAATAAAGATGTATACTCGTGACATATGGCTATTGGTGAAGGAACAGGGAAGTCTACGACCAGTCCTATGTTAGATTGTTTGAAGAGTGTGGGGTTTACTTTGCCTTATACTGTAAATTTGTGTTGGGATCCCAGGCACAGGATTGAGCTCACCCAAAAAGATAGTAAAATTATGGAGGTTCTTAATGATGTTATAAAACTGATTCATAATGTGATGGATCAGTTTAAGTGGGGAATAACTAAGGGTTGTTACTGTCTGTTACGGATTTGTGTGAAAAGTTTTATGTTCCTAGGATTTTTAAGGACATGAAGTTTACAGCATATAGTGAAATGATATTCAGGGCATCCATATCTGATTTCAAAAGCTTAATAGCAGGTCTGAAGAAGCTACCAAATAAGGAAGGATGTTTGCTTCATGACCAAATGTTAGAACCAAGCTTTTCATTCTACCTACTTTTTCTGCCAGATGTATACCAAATATTAAGTAAAGGGCCAAAGAAAGTTCAAATGGCTAGAAATAAACTTCCCTGGGTGTACTCTAGGGACACTGACATTCTCTTGGTTGAAATTAAGAGGGCTGAAGTAGCTATTGATGATTTGAAAATAATATATACTCAGTAGTGATGAAATGCAAAGTAGGCACTAGTTTTCACATACTGCCTCATTATTTATTTGCTAACCTAATTAAAATAACAGAAATTGTTGATCATCACACATTTCACGGACTACCAGTGCCTGATGCACCAGTAGGATTAAGATCTCAGAGATGAACAAGTGCTGGTGGTGGTCTTGGTGGACTCAAGCTCAAGTTTGAAGATACCGGTATTAACAATTAAAAAAATTACATTTCAGCGCTTGCAGCAAACATTAAATCCAGATTTTAATGCTCTACTTTTAAGCTACCCAGTATGTCATAAATTTGAATGTTTATTGGATTACACACATCCCAGTAGTAGCAGAAATATTTTTGATCCTTATTCATCTTTTGAAGGTTTTTGTAGATTTGTTTCTGATATTTCATTTGTAGATAAGAACACTGACTCTCTTAAAACTCTCTATTTTGAACTAAGTGATGATTGATTACATGACTAATTCAATTTCTATGATATGCAACAAAGGAGAAGTGTTGGACACACCAGTGCTTCTTAAAAAGGCTGACCAATGTAACATAAATGAATGTAAACTTGCTGCATTTTTTATGTCTTCAGTCATTTCCTTTCCCATATCTGAAGCTATTGTCGAGTCCTGGGGGTCAGTAATAGATACTCATCAAAAACAAATCTATATTGAAAGAACAAGACACCACAACTGCTGCCACCATAGAAATGTTGACATTCATAGAGCAGAATGGCCCAGCAACAGGAATAAAAATGTTTTAAAGAGCACTATGCTTAATGTACGGAGGAGCCTCATATGAGGAGTATTTCCAACACCAGACACTAAAGCAGGCAGGAAAATTTACATCAGTTGTAATTTCAAAGAAAATGTCTGCCTCAAATGAAAAACTTCCTTGCTACAAATTAATGCTATTTTGTGTAGTTGTTAGTATTATTTCTATAATTGTAGGTAAACTAGCTTTGATTAACACACATATTACATTTTTTCTCATAAATTTTTATTCCTCTATTGTAGATTACCGAGCTAAGCTTTGATTTCTTTTCAAAATAAAGTTTGTACTGTATTAAAAAACTGTGTGTGTCACAGAGCTTCCGACAAAATCACAAATTACATGTACTGGAGCTATATACAGTATACTGTACATTATTTAAGGTGTCATTTTCCAGAGCTCATATTCATTTTGTCCTCACGATTCAATTCTACAAGCTTAAACCAAAACATTAAATATAAAATATTTATCAGTACAGTCCAGTAAAAGACAGGTCAACCATGCAAAACTTAATCAAGAGTCATTCTAATTCATTTTGGGTAAATATAGACTTTGATACCACAGACAATATGCAATATACAGTAGAATCCAAGTTACTATTAATTTATAAATTTATACTGGTACTCAATAGCTATTATAAATTATGACTACAGTACTGTACAGTATATATACTCCATTTACATGAGCTATCAGAGCTTGGTGCACATTAAAAATACAGCTGCCTGTCTGGCAGAATGAGGTGTATTGTTAACCTAGAGCTCTTCATTATTTATTTTCTTTATAGTCATCGACTGCAAGTAATATTAACTATTAAGTGTTAATCTAGGATGATATCCAAAGCCAGGGAAGTTAAATTTACCATGTGTAACAGATTGATAACATAGATATATTAAAATAAAAATAGAAAAGTTATAAAGTGTCAGTGAAATTTGCTGTTACAGTATTTCACCATCCACATACATATTCACCCAGTGTGACTTAACCAATCATGAGCTTCCTTTGATTTGGCCCACTTGCAAGATTGGAGTGAAAAGATTATAACTAATCTGCTACAGGTTATTAGCCTATCACACAAACACTGGGTAAATCGTACGACGGTGTTTGTGGAATAATCACCATTGCCCATACAGTAGGTCAATACAATGACCAGGTTAGGCTAGGCAATGTTACATTCTTTTAGTTATTGTATGATTTTAGCCCTTTATTTTCCCTTTGCTTCAAAGCCCTGGCCACCTCTAGTGGGGTCAAGACAGGTTAAATCCTATGCTGGTGTTTGAGGAATAATTACTGTATCCAATAACACCTTATGGATACACTGTTAGTGCCGAGTGAAAATCGTTGTGCCCAGGACACATTGGGCAACACTCTCCTCACATCTGATCCTGAATCAAACTTGGGATGCAATACTAAGTGGCACTGAGCTCAGTGTAGTTGGCTTGTCATTCACTACCACTAATAGCTTAAAAGGTTAGCTACCCCCCTGACTCCTACTTTAATGAGCACTATGGCTCCTGTCATCTCAGAATGGTTGGTATGCCTGGATGCAATGTGACTCAATATTTCGAAATAATATTTGTTGCTTGCCTTTATAGTATTTACTGATGAAAAGAGGTAATTTAATTTGCAATAAAACTTCCTCAGAGAGCAATATTCAGATTTCTCGTTCGTTTTGTTATATTGTATGACGCGTAGTGTTCGAGAAATTTTTGTGGAGTGTACATACAGTATAATAATAATGGTTGCTCCTCTTGTTCAAGGATGGAGGGACCCTATGGCCACCTAGGTGATTATTTTTTTTAAGGTGTAGAAGCTGTCGCCAACACAACAACCAAACCTCAATTTCACGAGCTGTTTGACCCAATGTCAAGGAATTCTCCAAGAAGACCGAACAACTCATGAACTGCACTAACTAACCATTATCCTGTAACACGATTCACAAATTGATTAATACCCAGATTCCTAAATACTGCTGGGCAGACAAAGGCAATTGACATAAAGAAACTTACCCATAATTTCACCCTGCCTGGGGATTGAACCAGAGTCAACTCGCTTGTGAGGTGAGTATGTTTGCAATTACACCACAGGTGCTACTATAGGAGCACTGTTGATAACACCTTTGCACTTCCAAAGACTTCTAAATTATTTTCACATGGTAACATTTATTTTATTTCTTTTGATTTGTTTTCTAAGCATTCAAATATTCACTTAAATATAACAGTGAAGATCTTTTTAAAGACACAGAGGTGAAGCTCGCCTTTACCTTCGTCCAAGTAATGGTTAGTACAGAATTGCTGGTAAAATTTTAGTTTTGATCAGTATTTAGGTATCCAACCTAACCTAACATAGCCATAGAACCCAGGAATTATATTATCTAACCAGGGGGGGTTTCGCCCCACACCCCCCTCAATTACTGGTGGGGGTTAAATTCCTAAGATTCCCTGGATGGCCGAATCTAAAATAATACCGAATTACCAACCTTTGTAATTCTCAGCATTATTTTATCCCCTATAACTCTGGTGGTGTATCACCTACATTACAGCCAGGGGAATATCACATTACCTAGTACCAGTATGTAGTTTATGTTTGTTTATTTGAAGGCACAGGATAGGATACAGATACGACTGCCCTGTGAGACATTGATGTCTATTAGTATGGCAACCTAATGTGCATGCATGGTGGGCAGACTATACAATGACAGTTACAAAGCTGGCCTTCTTTCTGACGAACCAAAGCTAACCTAACGTAATCAAACCTAACCAAACAAATAAACACCACATTAATGCTGGAAAGCAATTTCAAATTCACCCTCCAGACCTAATGTCATGTCATTAACCACAACCCCTTAGTGTTTCTTGATATGAGATGTTATCACATACAATGTACTCTAAACATCATATTAATTTTCAGTTAAAGCATGTCAAGATCTGAAGGTTACATTCAATATCTTCTAGACGTCTGGGCAGTATCAATTTTAATAATATAGTTTCCTCAAGTATTATTTTTTCCAAATTTGAAAACCAGGAGCAGGTAATATGTTCAAGTAACAATGAACAACAGTGAGTTTTGTCTCAAGACTAGCTTTTCTGTGAAGATATCGCATAGCACATTTAATTCTTCTTCCACTGGTAAAACAGTATTAGTGGTCAGGCTGGGTAACACTGAACAGTATTAGTGCTCAGGCTGGGTAACACTGAACAGTATTAGTGCTCAGGCTGGGTAACACTGAACAGTATTAGTGCTCAGGCTGGGTAACACTGCCTCGTCTTCCTCAGCAAACGCCAATCTGGAGTTCATCTTAATTTGTTTCTGACAGCTTAAGTATACTTGCAACGTCTTGTCCACACTCACTGGCATTTTTCTGCTGGACATCCATATGTAGTTGATACACTAATAAAAGTAAGACACTTAATAATACAAAGAACACAGTAATACAGTTTGTTCACAGCAGATTTTCACTTGTTGCTTCTGCCAAGCTGTCTGTGTTACACCTTCACTCTCAGCTCTATTACAACTCTTATATTTCATTCTAGTTTGTGACCATCGTAAACCACAACACTCTACCTCACTTGCCACTAATCTACCATGGCTGGTTTACTAAAGGCCAATATTTAGACAAAACATGATACTCCAAGGCGTGTGGCAGCCTTGGGTGCACTGGCGAGTGAACTAGCCCTGACAGAGCCACCTGGCGGACACCTCCTCAACTACCCTTCAAATTATAATTATTTCCCAACAATAAAGGCTAGTTCTATCCATACACTTGCCCAACAACATGTAATCATTTCTAATTGTGTATTCTGATGTTATATTTCACTCACGTAACTGAGATACTTGTATTTAGCTATGACTGTTGTCTAAAGACATGGTGTACTGAAATGTACCCAGCTGTTGTATATAGAAAAAAATTACACCCAGTTTTCTTCTTGTCGTATATCATAGTTTTTATATGCAACGTTTTATTTGTAGGTGGGTAAGTAGGGAATATTGTGAAGGGCGAGCTTTGGGTGTGGCGTGGCCCGCTGTCAGTACATCTCCACATTACTATAAGGTGAGCGTAATATGGCTTCCTGTCACTCTTTCTTATTGTAGCGTCACCGTTCACACTTCTTGGTCGGGACTGATAATACCCTTCACAATCACTCTTTGCCTTTATAATTATAAAACATTATGGGCAGAGTTTTCCGGTTATGAATGGACGGACTATGTTCTATATAGATTAAAAGTCCATTCTGACATACATCATTGCTCCAGTGACAGTTTACTGTTCCTCGGGCTTCCACTCCTTGCTCTTAATAAGCTATACAGTATAGTCTTTTTGTCGTCTTTATCCATTTTCCATGTATTTTGAATACCTGTATTATATGCCTAAAATCTGTATCGAATACTTACTTTCCTGAATAAAACATATAACTGATGAAAATGATCGAAGTGTCCACAAATGCGACACAATCAAATATAATCATAAAATCGTGAAGCACGGCGGTACTGTACTACCACGTGAGAAGCAATGGGTGGCACCCTTTGTAGCTCCCTCCCTAGCTGACGGCTTACACTACCACACACACACACACACACCCAGACTGGATCACTCTTATGCATTCTACTTTACTTTGTCTCCTCATTCTTTTTCTACTCTTTACTTAACTTGCCCTTTCTGTCCAGTTCCCGAGACCCTGGGTTCTTCGGCTTCGAAGAGGTGGGTGTTACTGGTAGATACAAGTTATAAACAAGGCTCTACAGTGTGCCCACCTTGTTGTACATGAATCAGAGTCATCGCAGAAAACTGCAATCAGGAATAGCAGGGGCGTATACAGGGCATGAGAAAGGGAAAGTTACAGCGTTGGACAAAATCCGCAATGAACTTATACCAATTCCTGATGCTGAGGCTACTGTATTGTTTTAATCACAATCATTCATTGGCCCCAACCTATATATAATCGACATATATTTTTTCTAGGCTCACCGAGGAGAGAGGGGTTACAGACACCCAATAACCCCCCCCCCCCAGCTTGAGCCTGGATGATTCCTGGGGTCTCTTCTTTTTATTATACATCTTTTCACTGGTTCGATCGCATAATAACAGATGATAATAACACAATAAACCTCACTGTACCTAACAACCCATCTCAGTTACCGAGTCGAAACCCTCAAACATCTGCGGTCCTTTTATAGTTTAGTATCTACGACATCCACACTAATACACCTATCCATTATTCACCATTCATTATGTCCGCACATCTGTTCCTAATAGACACACACACTACCTGCTTACCCATGTCAACCACACCGTTAATAAGGCAAAACTTAATTCCTTCAGTGCAAAACATAATAATCATTTTAAGTTTGTAACACTACAATAGCAAATCTTTTTTTTTTAGCATCACTGTTACGGCTGACTGGGTGAATTTCATATTTATTTAAACTTTAATAATAATAATCATCACTCCACTTAATAAGTCCCACCTCCCAGCCTTGTATGTATGTCTCCGTAACGACAGTATCGGTGACCCTCCATCGCTCACTTGCTCGCGAGTTCGTAACCTTGAATGTGCTCCTGATAATTTAGGCGAAGTTTATCTTGTTGCTCTTATTTTTACTTTTTAACCTTTATCCTCTTCGCCATTGATCGGCTCGTTAGGTCGGTCACATCTCGGTTACACACTGTTGGCAAGTACTAGGCATGTACTGCATGGTTCCTGAATGTGTCTACCTGCCGCCAGTGTTGGACAAGTCTGGTCCGAGAGAGCTCATACTAGTTGCCGTCACAACATTCTACGGCAGACTGTTCCGAGAATTTGCAATTTTCACTCCGAAAAAGTTTGCCCTCACAGTTTTCTTGATAATTCTAGAGCTCTCGAAGAGGCATACCACCTTCCATCTATTCGTCTCTCCGATTCTTAAATTTCCTGGTTTCCACCTCTCTAACCGTCACAGCTGTGTGTTGTGGATGATTTATACGTAGGAGTCTGAGACTATAGGGAATAGCTCATTTTCAATGTTAATATTTTTATCCTCCGCGATGGTGGCGTCGCCACGCGACCGAAAAAAAACCATTCAGTAAGCCCATTGCGCCTTACATAATATTGTGCGATAATAACAGGTTACTCAATAAAAAGCAATTTATATATAGTTACACGTTATTGACATCCATTTTTTTTATATCTAAGGATAATTTATCAAAACAACACTAGGGAATACAGTATACTTCCTTCGGTTCTTTAGTAAGAGCGATGGTGGTAGCTACAGCTTTACACCAGTTTTACAAAATTTAATATGAACAAAAATATTGCAGACAGTTAATCAATGCACTTTTTTTTAAAAGGCTGTCATTTTAGTAGTGGTATAAAGAACATCAAATAAAGAACTCATAAAAACTTATGGACACTCGAAAGACAGCTTTCTGTTCCTTTCAAAGTTGGCAAAGCACTTAACAGCTATCTGCACGGTACCAGGTTCCTATTGCAACTGTCAAAAAAAATCTTGCCAAACAATAAAAAAAAGGGGGGGATTTCGCCAAATTCTTCGTCATTCTGCCTGGTAATTATTTTGTTTACTTTCCGGCTGCTTGTCTGCGCCATATTGAGGGGTGAAGCAGAGCTGTCGATAGAGTTAGACCAAACTCTACCTATGGTTCTGGGTCTGGGGTGAAGGCGTTCGCCCACTGAATGAGCTCTCCTCCTATAGTATCAGAACCCTTGTTTATACCCACACTACTGTACTTCCCCATCAATAATGGAGGAACTGAACGCTCAGTTCTGGCGCCTATCCTTCTTTTATTCTATACCAATGACCTACTACAGTAATTTTCTCCTGCGGTCTCAATTCTTTTGTTGGTTACACTAACCTACGTTTCTCAGAAAAAATAATAGAAGTTATCGCTTATCAGAATTTATCCCGAGAGAGAGAGAGAGAGAGAGAGAGAGAGAGAGAGAGAGAGAGAGAGACTTACAATTCGGTCTGTCTAATCTTGGCTTCTATAAGTGCTTGGAGAAGTGGCATGATAGTTCAGGGTTGAATTGTTTATTGTTTGGACGCCTCACACTTCACGTTGGAAAGACGCTTTGTTTATTATCCTTGCGGACTTTTTCCTATTTACTCGACAACAAGAACCGGAATACTTCACACTCATCTTGATTCATATACTATTACACTCGTATGCTTTATTTACAAGCATGCAATTAAAGATCGTGTATATGAGTTACCATGTGCATATAAGTTAACATGTTTACGCCAATTTGTAACATAAAGGCATAGACTATCGTTCTCATTCTATTACAGAGTGTGGTGTGACGTGTAGGAGGCGCTGAAGGAGGTAGTGAGTGGAACACGTACGAGGGGCGGACTGGTTGTGGATGGAGACTGGGAGTATGTGAATGAGTGAGAAGAGGAGAGGAAATAGTGAAATAAGATAGTGTATTAGAACGAATAAGAAATGCATATGAGTAAGAGGGTTGGGGAAGAGAGAGGGGCGTGCGCTGTTAAATGTACAATATCTGTATCTGTTAATAACGAGTCACTGATATGCTTCAAGCTCTATCCTTCTAGGGACACAAGAGTTCTCTCTCTCTCTTTTAATGTTCTTGGACTAAAAGATTTGCGGGAGTTCGTGTCCTATATGTGTATAACTGGTTTGTGTTATCTTTGTTTTTTAAAGGCGCTTTCTTCATCATCTGTGAGCATTTTTGAAATGCATTGTCTAGTATATGTGTGCGGCTGTGTTGTGTAGTGACTGATACAGTTTTCTTGAAGTTTATTTTATCCAATTATTTGACAGTTGAGTTGTTTGTATGTCTTGACCTGTTATTTTCTGATTATATTACTGTCATTCGGCGAGTTTATTGGAGTTATAAACCTGGATATAAATTCGAATAGTTTACCATTTGTGTGCTCATGATTCGTTCGTCCTAACTTGGAGTACTGCTCTCATATCTGGGGTGGCTCTTCTTCTGTCCAACTGTTAGATAGGGTGGAATCAAAGGCATTTCGTCTTATTAACTCTCCTCCTTTAGTTAATAATCTATCTTCCCTTTCTTTTCGCCACAATGTTGCTTCACTCTCTCTCTTTTACAGGTACTTTAACGGACAATGTTCGGTGGATTTGGCATCCTGTGTACCGCCGGCAAGACCGTGGGCTCGTAACACTCGTCTTGCCCGGGGTGCCCACCGTTTCTCTGTGGATGTTAGTCACTAGAATAACCCGTTATAGTACATCCTTTCCTCACACAACCACTGTGGGATGCTCTGCCTTCTTCTGTGTTTTCATACTCATACAATCTGTCTCATTTTAAAAAGCCGTTTTTTCCGGCATCTTCGTGTTGTACAGTATATTAATATAACCTTTGCCTTTTCTATTTTAAATTTCTTTCCATTCTTATTTTTTCGCCCCCTTGGCCCAGTTGTAGGTCGATGACCAGTGCCCGGGAGGGCTAATTTCCTAAAAAAAAAAAAAAAAATACTTCACCTTGTCATACACCTTGCCATGCATTTACATCGCTGCAATACATTTAAAACACCTTGTCATACATTTACAACACCTTGCCATACATTTACATCACCTTGCCATACATTTACATCCCTTAACAGGGTTATATATCTAATTTACCTTTACCTATTTAACAAATGGCCACCCCAACTAGAGGTGGCCATGTCGAGGAAGTATTTCCTTATAATCGTCCTGCTCGACACCTTGGCGA